CACATATATAATTACATATTGTTTTTGTGATTAATCACTATGCTTTCATTATGTTCAATATGTAACAACGAAATTGGGGGTCACCACAACATAAGGAACTGTATTAAAGGGTCGCGGCATTAGGAAGGTTGAGAACCGCTGTTCTAGAGGAATGCACATAAATAGTTAAGCCAACATTGGTCACAAGGGGGCAGTCTTGCCCCACAAAGATTTCTTGCTGCTGTTGGCGACTGGCACTTACACCCGCTCTCTCTAAAGACTTATACATATCAACAACACTCTTTGTTCTTCCTTTTCCAGGACCCGTCAGCAATTAAAAACACGCCAAACACTCTACATGTATCAGACTGTTAAATGTCTGTGGACGGTTAAAAAATATTTCTAAGGATTTTTTTTCTCTTGCAGTTTTGATGCAACTCTAGCTTGTTATCACCAGCGATGAAAAGCGGGCCTCCTGGCCGATGTGGTTCCTTCGGGCCGGGCTGGGACACGGGATCCTCTGGGCAGAGGCAGGCACGGACAAATGGTCCCTCCCTCCTCTCAGCACCTAGGACCTGTGCATGGGTCCGGGACTGCGCTGCAACTCGGAAAGACGGAGAGGACTGATCTGGTGGGCGGAAAAGCTGCTGAGCTATGGAGACGTGTCCTGGGTTCCACCCCTCACAGCTGCGTTTATCGACAGAGATCCGCATCTACTGCACAAGCGTCATGGATGTCAGTTCTGGGCCCCAGGTGGCCATGTTGGAAGGTCTTGGCGCTACCTGGTCGACTGAAGATCACTGGAGTATTATATCATCACCACAAGAGTAGAATCCATAGAGCTAAAGTGTGGTGTGCCTGTGCTGGTGGCAATGTTTTCAAGGTGTGTGTGTATATATATATATTTTTTGCTAGCAGCTTCACACTTTGCATAGGGTGCTTTGCCCAGACAGAGAGGGGGTGCCCTAACTATTTGCTGAAGGAAAAGAGGGGCATGTGTTTCTCCACAATTTCCCAATAATTTGTCCTCTGTTTGAGAGGTAGGCAGTTGTCAGTGAATGGACCGGATTGACACAATCATAATTTTCTATTTGGAGGTAAACACACAGCAACGGAGTGACCCCTGAGGGTAAGCATCCAAGGCCACAGCGTGCTGTGCCCTGTGTGAGAAAGGCCAAGAATCGCTGCGATACACGGTATCATTGGCTACATGTGAACGATGCTGATTTTGCACCAAAAAAGAGCTTTCTCTGAAATTTTCTTGCTTATCTTAGAGCCACACTAAGAATTATATATTAAAGGGTGAAAATAATTTGCTGAAATCTCACTTCTTCTCCTTAAAAAGTCACTGATTAGCAAAATTGTGAACAAACAGCTTTTCAAGCAAGTCAGCAGCAAAATAGTTTATCCAAACAAATTACCCTGGTCGTGAAGAGAAAGTTCCCCCCACCTGGGATCCTTGGCCAGAAGAACGAGTTATTTTAGGAGACCATGTGGGTGGAATTTCATGTCATCTTGGAGGGAGAAGAACTTTCCTGACATGATGTGACTCATAAACTGTAAAGGAAAAATATTGATAAATTTGACTTCACTTAAATGCAGAGCTTCTGTATGTCAACAACACCATAAACAAATTTAAACCACCAACCACAACATGACCATCAAGTTAAAAGATGGAGCCGGTCTTCAACCTAGCACTTTTCCACTGCTAAGAAAAAATATTTACAACACACTGTGGTGGAGGCTGGTAGCTGGCTGTCCTCTGAAATCCCTTCTTCCATTGTCCTGGAATTCTAGGGAGGCCTTGGTACAACTCTCCGAGGTACCCACAATCCCTGGCTCCTGAATTTCTTGCCCTTGCATGCTCTCCTCCCCTTGAGTGTGGGCAGGACATGTGAGTTGCTTCTAACCAATAGAATATGGCAAAGGTAGCAGGACATACCTGACTGTGTGTGTGATTCTGTATATAACACGGTAGCACCCAGCCCGGCTGGCGTGGCTCATGAACCAGGGACCCCTCATGGGGATGTCGGGCCTACACTGGCAGTCGGACATCCCTCTCGCAATCTGGGACGCTGCATGCACCAGTGACCATACTTTTCATACAGTATGAAAAGCTTCGACCTATGAACCAGGAAGCCACAGTTCAATTCCTGGTCAGGACACGTGCCTGGGTTGTGGGCTCGATCCCCAGCAGGGGCCATGCAGGAGGCAGTCAGTCAATAATTCTCTCTCATCATTGATGTTGCTATCTCTTTCACCCTTCCTCTCTGAAATCAATAAAGAATATATTTAAAATGGCAGCACCCATCTTGCTGGAGTCTCTCTCTTCAGTTGGCTTAGAGGAAATCCCAAGTGACAAGGGACTGGAGTGGCTCCAAGGAATGGTGTGCCGAGCCGGCACGGCCATGGGTGAACCTGAGGGGGGAGGGGGGGTGGTGAAGGATTTAGAAAAGACAGACAAGAGAATAAAGCTGGGGCTGGGTGGGACTCTGCTCTCTAATGGAGAGAGAGCACCACAGTCTGCAAGCCGAGTCTTTATTTTATAGCCAGGTTCCAGGAGGCAAAGTAAGGGCGTGGTCACAACGTTCTTTCGGGTTTTAAATCTACTCAATTAATGCACCTGATCAAGCTTTGTTTACTTGCTGCACCTCCTGCAGCCCATATCACTCAGCCACGTGGGACCACAGGTTCCGACCATAAGGTCAAGCTTACAACTATAGCCTTTGGCTATCATTGTGCTGGGACTTGCCCGTGGCTTTGCCATGAGAGGATCGTGCCCGCTCATCAGTCCCAGGCTCGAACCTGTCCAAATGCTATATAGGCAGTGGTTCTCAACCTTGGCTGCACATTAGAATCACCTGGGAATCTTTTTAAAATCCTGATTTCTGGGCCTCATCCTCCGGGAATTCTGTTTCTTTGAACAACATTAGTAACAAAGAAAGAGAATTCCCGGAGGATGAGGCCCAGAAATCAGGATTTTAAAAAGATTCCCAGGTGATTCTAATGTGCAGCCGAGGTTGAGAACCACAGCTGTAGACACTCTCCACAGAATGGGGAAGCTTCTGGCAGATCTGCAGCAAGAAACCAGAGCGTCCATCGATAGCTGCAGGGACCAGAGTCCTGCCCACGTCCAGAGTGAGCTTGGAAGCAGATCCATCCCCAGTTGAGCCTCAGATGAGGCTGCAGCCCAGCCAACCCCTCAATTGCCATCTTGCAAAGGACCCAGGTAAGCTGTGCCCACGCTCTTGACCCACAGAAACTGGGAGGTAGGAAATGTTGAAGTTTAAGCTACTAGGTCAATGGTAATATTGTCAGGCAGAACAGATAGCTAATGCATAGCCCGACTACCTTGCATCTCCCAGCCTGCCTTGTGGTGAGATGTTGCCACATGACGAAGTTCTAACCCACAGAATGTGAACAGAAGATATAAAAACGGCCATCAGCCCACGGAAAGATGCTCAACATCACGAATCGTTAGGCCATTAGGGAAATGCAAACCCAACCACGATGAGGGAGCAGCTCACACCCATCAGGACGGCCTCTATCAAAGAACTCGAAAGAGCAAGCGTTGGCGAGGATGTGGGGGAACTGGAGCCCGTGCGCTGTGGGGGGCATGGAGGGCGGTGCGGCCGCTGGGGAAACAGCGTGGCGGGTCCTCCAAATAGCAAACTACCACGCGACCCAGCAGTTCCAAAGAATAGAAAGGGGTCTCGAAGGGATAGCTGTACATTCATGCTCCTGGCAGCATTCTTCACAGCAGCTGGAAGGTGCAAGCAATCCAGTGTCCACCACCAGCTGTCGGAAGAGAGGGGGCTGCAGGGCTGGGTGAAAAAGGTGGAGGGATCAGGCAAAACCCAACTCAGACACACAGACAGCTGTGTGGTGCTTACCACAGGGAACGGGAGGGGGAGCCGGGGGAGAGGGTAAGGGGGTTGAATGGTGAGGAGGGAGACTTGACTTGGGGGCGGGCGGTGACCGCACAGCACAGGGGACAGAGGATGGGCCGTAGAACTGTGCACCTGGAATGAAAACGCACACGGGCCTGGAAAACGCGTGATCTCCTTCTGTGACATTTCCGCCCGCTGCTTCCCGCGTTCCACACAGGCGGACTCATGTACATGACCACAGGGTGCTCCTTTCCACAGGCTTCCTGGCTCTAAATTTGTAGCTAAAACGTCCACTTACTCAAGAACAGCAATAACGTCCAGCATGCCCACCGTCGAGCACTTAAGGCAGGTTTCTCAGCCTCACGTTACTGACACTTGGGCGGATGTCCTTCCTGGTGGGGTCTGCCCTGGGCACTGGGGTGTTAGCAGCACCCCTGGCCTCCACCCACTAGATGCCAAGAGCACCCCTTCTCCAGTTGTGCCAACCAAAAATGTCCCAGGCATTGTCAAATGCCCCCCCCCCCCCCGAAGGGCCAATGTGTGTCTGTCTGGAGCACAGCCGCTGATTGGCAGGTGTGGTTGGAGAGAGGGCAGGATGGAGGGGACCATCCGCACCTGTGATGCCACTAGGACTGGGAGCCACCTGCTCTGTGACCTTCCTCCTAACCCTGCCCAGTGGTTGTGACCTCCCCTGCAAGGGTGAAGGACACAGCGGGGAGGGCTGGGGTCCGCTGGCCCTCACTCCATCCCGTTGGCCGGCAGCAGCGGGTCTGTGTGTCGCATCTGAGCCGGGTGTGTGGCAGGAGGGCCCGGTGCTGCTGCGGCCTGCGTGTGCTCACCTGTAGCAGGGAGCGCACAGGTCGACAGGGACCAGACAGCTCACACCGGCGAGTGGTGCCCGAGTCCCTGCGGCTCCGCAGTCCCCGTGACCGGGAATCGACCTGTGACCTCCTGGTTCATAGGCGACGCTCAACCAATGAGCCACGTGGGCAGGCACGTTTTATGACGACTAGTGCTGTTTCGAATCTTTTCAAATGCTCTGCTTTGATAATGACAAATGCAGTAAATGCATGTGTGTATAGGCGTGTGTGAAAGGAGGGTGTTACTATATAAAAAGGAGGAATCGTGAAACTGTGGGAGGCGCTGGCCACTCCGGCGTCCCGATGGCCTGGCCAGCGCCGCACGAGGGCAGCCCAGCCCAGCCCTCTCCCCTCATGACGGCAGCCTCTGTTCCCTTCACAAGAGCCACCAGTGTGCAGCGGAGGGGCCTGTGGTGGCTCTGAGTCCTGGAGGTTTAGAGCGGCCATCGCAGTCCGAACTCCGGTGACGTGGCCATGACCGGCGGGGCAGCTGGGCCCAGCCTGCTCCTGGGTTCCGAATGCTGCGGGAGGTGTCCTGCGGGCCAGGGTGGGGGAGGGCGCCTCCCTGGCACATGCATGTGCGTGTTGTGTGTGTGGAGGTGTTGTATGTGGTATGTGTGTTGTGTATGGTGTGGGGGATGTAGGATGTGTGCTGGGGTGTGTGAGGTGTGTATGTTACACATGGCCTGTGAGGTATGTGTATGTATGTCCTGGGGTGGGCGGGGCGGGGCGGGTACGGTGTGCTCTGAGCGAGGGTGGGGAGTTGCTGAGATAAGGAAGTTGTGCCCAAATCTCTTAGATGACAACAGATCACCAGCAGGACACACACGCACAGATTGACGTTTTCAGTACAAAATTCAAAAAGCACAGAGATCTGTGGGTAAAGGAAGTATTCTCTTCATTCTTCCCCAGCCTCTGCTTGTCCCCTGCAGTGGAAACATTTAAACACAGTGAAACAGACCATACATGTGAAGTGTGTGTGTGGAGGTGGGAGGGTCTCCCTGGGCCTTGGAGCAGCCTTTGCCGCCCGGGCCCCCTTGGGGCTGCACCCCTTCCCCCTTGGGATGGTTTCTTGCCAAAGAGTGTGAGGCACTCTGGAAGGCCAGGGCGCCCCCCCCCCCCCCCCGGGGCACACACCGGCTTCCTTTGGCGTTTCGGCTGTGGTTGCTGGTGACGGACCTGGGCGGGCCCCTTGGACACGGCCTCTGCTTCCTTTGAAAGTGGAAATGTTTCTATTGTTTCCTTTTCCTTCGCTGATGCTTTTTCAAATGGAAAAATACCATAAATATAATCAGAAAAAGATTAGCAGATATTTTTGCTCCCAAATTATTTGAGGAACAAAAGGTCAGATTTCTTTAATTAGAGCTTCCTTTTCAGCATTTTCCGGCCTCGGGCCTTTCCCAGCAGGGCTGATGCTCGGAGGCGCCAGGGCGGGGCCCCCGAGGGGTCCTGACTCAGCGCTGCGTGCGGCCCCAGGAGGTGGCCACGCTCTCCAGGAACACGGATCTGATGTGTGTGCATGTGTGCGTATGTTTTTTAAAAAGGTCGGATACCATTTTGGG